AACAGCAGAAGATTTGTTTGGACTTGATCAATCAAAACTGGATCAACTTGTTCTTGTAGATAATGATAAGCAGGATTCACCCAAGGAACAGGAAAGTGATTCTACTAAACATTCTCAAATTCCAGGAAATGTGTCAACTGAACCACTGTTAAGACGGTCAAGTAGAAATAGAATAAAAGCTCTTCGATATAGAGGCAATTAGGAAGAACTTATTGATGCCAAAAAATTATACTTTATTTATAGACTAATTATGGAATTTAATGAACTGTTCAGAATTCTAAAATATCAGTTTAAGTAGTAAGTCACAATTTTAAAGATTTAAGTGAGTCCTCCAGCTATGTAATTTTGCTATGTTCTCTAAAGTCAACTGTTAAGCAATAATTTAATGTCAAAATGTTTTCTTAAGTTAACTGCTAAGTAAGTAATGATGTAAAATAATTATTGTATTAAGTTAGTAACATGCACTAGTCTTGTTCTATAAATAAAAAGGGCATGTTAGATATTAATTACTTTGCTTGCCGATAAATGGCAGTTTCTCTAACCTGACTAGTTAGGCAAGTGCACGGTATTTGTGCTGCGTCACACTCTCGGCACTTGCCGCCAACCATGTAGCATCAATGTCTATCTTATGTATAAGTAATCTAATTTAATCTTATACGAGGGCAATCCCAAAAAAAAGGTCTTCTATTTTTTGGGGACGCAGAGAAAGTTTTAATACGGTTGTTGGCAACACTGTTGTGAGTGGTGCCTTCTCCGCTACCACATAAGCACGCAGGCGTTTCGCTCGGATGCTCAGTCTTGGCTTGGCAGTCATTCGAAATGGAGCTCTCGATAAACGTTACCGCCAAGTGTGAAGTGCGCGCAGTTATTCAATTTTTGAACGCAAAACGCGTTAAACCGGTTGAAATTCGCCTATTGACAAAAGTGATTGACAGTCGTGCATGGATGTCAAAAACGTTCGCAAGTGGTGTAGAGAGTTTACAGCTGGTCGTACTGAAATTCATGACGAAGAAAGGAGCGGGAGGCCGTCAATTGCCGACAAGACAATCGTGAAAGTTGAGTCCTCAACTGTCGCGATTGTTGAGTTCGTATTCGTTGAGTTTCGCGATTGTTAAGTTGCGTAAAGATCGGAGGATCATCTGGATGCTCCTGAAGCTCTTCAACGCTTCCTGAAGGGCATGGCGGCAAGCTGGTATGACACGGGCATTGTAAAACTGCCACAGCGTCTACAAAAATGCATCGACCAAAATGGCGATTATGTTGAAAAATAAAGCATTCTGCAATCTTTAAAGTGATGTAGCAATTATAGAAAATAAACGGTTCTTTGTATATCTAAAAATCTAGGAGACCTTTTTTTTTGGGGATTACCCTCGTAAATAAACAGTAATTTATCTATGTTTGACAAGTCAACATATATAACACATAGGTCATCTGATATGTCAGTGTTGGCTTATTTGAACACCATTCAACGATTCATCCATTTAACGATACCTTCTTCTTGCAAAGCTTCCTCATTTAGTCTTTCTTTTGAATATAAAAGCAATTCTCTTGCTTTAACCACTGTACTGACCTTAAAACCAGAAAATTCACTGTCATCAATCTCATTTTCAATAAACAGAGAAGACGGCCATACATTACGCCAAGTATTTACTAATGTTGTTTGGGAAACAAAATTCCAAGATTCAGCTAATAAATAAATGCAGTCTTTGATAGTGAATTTTATTTTATAATCACAAAGTGAAATAGAAAGGTCACTTGAAAGAATTGTTTTCCAAAACTCTGATTTATATTGGCATTTAATACTGTGTATTATGCCCTGGTCCATTGGTTGGATCAATGATGTAGTATTTGGGCCCCCACCCAAAAAAAGGCCAGGACATTATCACATGTTAAAATGGTTGCATCTGGATGTGCAGAGCAGTTGTCTAACAATAATAAAATCTTGCAATTTGATGGTAACCCACACTGTTACAATGCCTTCTAGCCTCTTTAAAGAAACACTCCATGAACCATTTGGTCATAAGTTGTTTCATGACCAGGAATTTTTATTATTCCTACAAATCCCAGGTAAGGATTTTACTTCTTTCAGAGTTCTGGAATTGGTGCTCTTACCCAGTACCACTGGTTTACATTGGTAAGTTCCAGCTGCATTGCTACATACTAAAATAGTAAATCTTTCTTTAGCTTCTTTCACCCATGACGATGCACTTTCTTTGCTTGTCACAAATGTCTTTCTTGGCAAACATCACTAAAAAAGTCCAGTCTCGTCCATATTAAAAACCTGTTTTAGGCTAAGATTTTCATCTGCCACAAACACAGAAAATTCATCAAATTCTCCTGAAGTATCTTTATATTATAAGCTGAAGTTTTCCCCCATATGCTTTCAGATAACGTATACCATGTCTCTGCTTAAATCTGTTTAGCCAACCGCTGATGAAATCACATGGCTCCTCTATTTTTAAATCAACATGAAACTGTTTTCCCTTTTCTCTCAGGAGCAGTCCTGAAATTGGTTACCTCATCACTCCGTCGCTGCCGGAACCACTTGTACAAGACAGTATAGAGATTTGCCGTTTTTGGCTCCTGCATAGATTTCCGGTTTCGGATTCCTGCGTTATAAAACACTGCGGAAAATTTCAACGAGTTTTCTTTATTTTTCTGTATATTATACATGGTCCATGCCACAATTCCATACAATTCTGCTATAAACCAAGGAGGATTAGAGTAGACTTTAAGGTACCCCTTGTATTAAGGCTAAGTTGTTGTTTCATTTATCGCCAAGTTGTTCTTTCTTTTATGGTAGCCTGAGTAGTTGAATGTTATGGAAACCCTATTGTGACATAATCGGGTGCATGATTCTGTGAAATTTTGAAACATGGGATGTTTCGGGAACCAAAATCGCCGTTATGCATACCAAAATAATAAGTCAAAGAATTGCGCAAACTCGGTATCTATGAACTGCCAAAAATCGGCAAGTTTTGCCAAGGGGTACCCTAAAATATACTTTTACCCCAAGGAGTAGTACCTGCCTCCATCTTTTGCAAAATGTCTACTTTTTACATTATCGTCAATGAAAAGTGTTTACGTTTTTCAATGTTGAAAGCAGTAAAATCATGAATGTGTTTCTTATCTATCACTGTATTAAAAAGAGCTAAAAATATTTTTAATTTATCAATTGAATATCCCAATTAAAAAACAAAATGGCAGAATTAAACAATCTCGTGAAATAACAAAGCTGAGAAAATACAACAATGTAAATTGTGAACTTGAAAGAAAAGTTGAGTCAATCGTCTGCTTTTTTACCTCTGCAGATTAGAGGGGGGAAAACTTTTAGCTTGATGTCAATAATTTGGGGGAAGTGCAGAATCGCCTACTGCTTGGCGTGTTTTTTAAGAATTGCACTAACTCAGTATCCATGTGCACATTGACCTATTTTCACTTAAAAAAACATCCCAGAATTGCACAAAAATGGCACTGCGCACTCCCTTGACTTTATCCATGTACGCATCGACCTATTTTCACTTAAAAAGTCAAACAAAATAGACAAAAATCCAATTCTTCTTACTCTTGTAAAACGCGCCAAATAAAGAAGTGGGCGATTCTGCACTTTAGCCTAATTTGGTATTTCTGGCTGTGGTATTTCCATAATGACTCATTATTATTCAGTAATTACGACATAATTAATCGAGTTTTTTCTTTTGTATTTCATTTTCCATGTTGCGGTTTCTGGAACTTATAAATAGATTATTTATATTTTGAGCGGCAATGCGGATTTTCGGTATTGGACTGTATCGCCAAATCCTCAATGTATCGTACACTAGGATTAAACCATAAATTTGGATACATTCTGATCATCCGCATTCCCAGTTTCAACATTCAGTACAACTACCATGAAACGCGTACAAATCACACGCATATTTTTTAGTGCAGCAATAGGTGACCTATGCAAGACTTACCAGATATGTCTGAATACATATGGTCTACCACAGTCATTTTGCTGAACAACATTGACGGTCTGTAAAAATATAAACATTGGCCATATAATTTGTTCCTTCCCCTCATAAAATGCTTCTTTTTATTATTTATGAGCAGAACAGTATCTATCAGCGGCTTAATCCTAGTATCCGGTGCACACGGGATTTGGCTACTTTATGATGAGCAGTAAAAACGCGACATATACGATGAGTAGTAAACAGGTCATTCAAAGAATATATATGGTTATACATAATATATACACACATAGTATATAGTGTATAGTATATATATATACGTTCTTTGGATCATTTTTGGTGTTGGTGATAATTTTCAAAATCGCACCAAGGCTGCACCGTATACTAGGATTTTACCGAAAATTTTTGTAGATATCTTTATAGCTGATAGGGTAAAATCCTAGTATACGGTGCAGCCTTGGCGTGATTTTGAAAATTATCGCCAACACCAAAAATGATCCAAAGAACATATATATACATACTATACACTATATACTATGTGTGTATATACATAGTATATACTATGTGTGTATATACATAGTATATATACTATGTGTGTATATATAGTATATATTATGTATAACCATATATATTCTTTGAATGACCTGTTTACTACTCATCGTATATGTCGCGTTTTTACTGCTCATCATAAAGTCGCCAAAAGTAGTGAAATCCCGTGTGCACCAGATACTAGGATTAAACCAAATTTTCTGCTAATCGCATTTGAGTTCAAATAATCAGAAAGTACCTAAATTTAATATGCTTGAATTAAAAACAAGTGTGAATTAATGAGGAAATTCAAAATAATATGTGTTTCCTGGATGAAAGACTCGCTGAAAATTTTTCATGATTTATCTAAATTACACATTTTTTCGGTTAAAATATAGTTTTCTTCTTTCTAGATTATATTTATTATTACTTTATATGTATATTATTTTAAATACAATGAACAAATGAAATTTATATTAAATGATTTTAAAAGAAGTTAACATTATCTTCTGAGTAACATACCTTGAAAGACACGAACTCATCTTGAATCTCAATATATATATCAACAATCGTGAATATATGCCAATACCATCTTCAACAGATTAGATCTGATGATAGAAGAATTGCTGCAGTCAGAAAAAAATAATTAGAAGGGGAGATTAAACACTGTATCGACGAAATCGAAATTAAAAATTTATAAAAACAGAAAATACCTATTTGCGTTATGATAGCAACTTAAATTTTGGTCAAATTATATTTTAAAGCTGGCAACCAATCAGCGTACAGAAAAATACAATGTTATCGCTGCAGTTACAGTTTGAAAAATATAAATAGCTATCTGAAGCTGGCACTGTTGATAGAACTTTGCTAGTTTTTGTTGTTACATGATAATTTGGTAAACAAGTCCTGAAAAGATAACAACGCTCTTAAATCAGCAGCATAGGTAAAAGTAAAACTAATCAAACTCAATTTAGTCAACATTTGGAGCAAAAACCTTCTTCAAACGTTGACTAAATAATGACTCTATAATTCGTAACGGTACTCAACAAAGTTACGTTATGTGCTTTTCACATGTCTTCTATTAAATCTTAAGATTAAAAAAGTATAAATTTATTAAGATCATTAAGGAAACATGTGAGAAGGTTTCAGCTCCATCACATGGCTTTTTAGTATTTTAGGGAGAGATTTCCTTTATTAAATTTTTGATAATATGATCGCTTTGGCTATTTAATTGTCTTTTCAGATAAATGCACATATGCTAAATTTTACCTGAAAAAGAAAATGTGCATTATTTTATCTTCATCAGAACACATTTCTTGGGATGAATATCTTTTTTAATTGGAAATGTACCTTTGTATGTTAATAATATAAAATTTATTCCTTTTCATTCCATTCATCCCAGAACTCCTTCAAAATTTTCAATAAAGAAAATGTGTACAATTTTAGCGCATTTGTCTTGTTCACGAATTATCTTCTATATTAAATATAAACATCGCTTCATCTTGTAACAAGTCAGTGTGGTAACCGTTGCGGGATGCGGCCTAACTTTTTCTATATCACATTAAATACTTTCACTGCATTCATCAAATGCTTTAATAAGATATAATACACAATAAACATTTACATTTATTTTGAGATTTCAGATATGAATACTACCCCTCGACAGCACTCAATAAAATCAGTCGGTCATTGTTCTCTGTCAACTTGTGGCGTTCCGACAGATACTTCAACTTCTATTCATGAGATGGCGCCACTTGTAAAATCCAGTTCTTAATCGGAGCAGCAAAGCGACGTCATTTCTCACTCTGACTTCTCGTCAGACAACTGTACGCGAAGGTAGCATGAACTGTGTTCCGACCTCTGCGTTGATCTCTGCAATGTAATTTAAATTGTAATTTAGTACTTAATATATTCTTTTGTTATAGGAGATTGTCTACTCTTATTTTCTTTAATTATATCATGCATTAAGCACACGACCACCAAAAGTGGTGACCTTTTGACTGAGCACGCTACTGACAATGGATTTTCAACGACCCTAAGCCACGTGCTTCCAAGGCATTCTGAAGAACTGACTAAAAATAACAACGAATATGGACATTAAACGTATGCTACAACGTACCGGGTCAATTATTTCTAGAAGTATTGACATATATTGCTTGTGTTTTTTTCAAAGTCGTGCATATCATCGCAAGGAGCTTCAGCAAATCATCAATGTGATCTGTTCCGTTCCGCTGACTTCGCCAGTCGTGCAATAATTCTTCGATCATTCAACTTTTGTGACAAATGTGATACAATAGTGATTTTCGCTAAATGTGCTACATCAGTAATTTTTCTGCAACGTGCTACGGCAAAATTCTTCCCTCAGTGTTCGAAAGTAGTGAATTTTTTTCCCATGTGCTACAGGAGTGATTTCCTTTTTCCTTCGAAAGTGCCTTAGCAGTGTGAAGTGGTGATATTGTGCGTGCGCAATACAAAATGAACGCATCATTTTTTTTTCTCAAATAAGGGTTTTTTTTCAAATGCATTTCGGTAAAATATTATTTGTGTGTGTAATTGCTGACCCTGTATTTGTGTGTGTATCGTTACGTAAATTTTTTCTGCATGGTTAAAATATTTATTGTTATCATGGTAAAATATCAATAGTGTATCCTCATGCTACGATATTTGTGCTGTTAAGTGTTTATTAATTAAAGTGAAAATTATCTATCAGTATCCCGATATTGGACCAGAGCCACAAATCACATGCGTTGCGGTGAAGCCACCATATTTCTGGAAAAATAATCCTTCATTGTGGTTCGCTCAGATCGAAGTACAATTTTCTATCGCTCGCATTAGTGAGGATCCTACAAAATTCAACCATGTACTTGCAGCAATTGAGTATGATATTCTGAATTCAGTGCATGACTTAATTCTCAAACCACCTGATTGTGATAAATACTCCAAACTGAAACAGCGGCTCATTGAAATCTATTCAGAAAGTGAATCTTCAAAAATACGTACTTTACTACAAGGACTTGAACTTGGAGATCAGCGACCTTCATACTTGCTGTCACGAATGCGTGATCTGGCAGGAAGCCATTTTAGTGACGACTTGTTGAAGTCACTATGGCTTTCGCGTCTCCCTAATAACATATAAATAATAATTGCTGCTTCCAATGAAGATCTAACCCGTTTAGCAGCAATGGCTGACAAAATTAATGAACTTGTTACTCCAGCTTATGTCAGTGCTGCTAATGCTACACCTTCCAGTTCATCCCTCGAACAACAGGTGGCTGAATTGACCAAAAAAGTATCTGAACTCTCTACAAGTCTTCATACTTCACGGAGATACAATCGATCAAATCAGGGCTCACGTAATAAATTTCGTGCTCGAAGCAGGAATCGATCTCGTCACAATACTCGAACGCAGTACAAAGAACCCACAAGTGGCATATGTTTTTATCATATGAATTTTGGCACTCAAGCTCGCAAGTGTGCCCCTCCATGCACTTTTGAACAAGCGGGAAACTAAATGGGCGGTCTTCTGCTGGCCAACAGAATGTCCGCCACATCGACAGAATAGTACTGGCTGATCGTTCAACTCAGTTATGTTTTCTAGTAGATACTGGAGCTGACATATCAGTGCTCCCGAGAACTAAAACAAATGCTCACCAACTTAATAAACTTGTACTGTATGCAGCCAATGGTACCCAAATTGCAACTTACGGCACCAAACTATTGACACTTGATTTAAACTTGCGCCGGACTTTCAACTGGCCTTTTATTATTGCGGATTAACTCAAGCAATTATTGGTGTCGACTTCTTGACACATTTCCACCTTCTAGTGGATGTCAAGAATAATTGCTTAATTGATGCTACAACTCAGCTGACATCACAGGGCCAAGCTTCTCACATATCGAACGTACCTACCAACATAAGTGTTGTATCGGGCGGCACACGGTTTCGTCGGTTATTAGCAGAATTCCCTGACATTTTAAACCCATCCAAATCAGGGCAGCATACTCATCAGCCAGAAGTGTATCATCACATTGGAACACATGGCCCACCTGTATTTTCCAAGCCTCGTCGTCTTTCTCCAGAGATGCTAAAAGCTGCTCGCAAAGAATTTGAATACATGCTAGCATAGGGAACCATTCACCCATCTAAAAGTCCATGGGCCAGTCCACTTCACATGGTTAAAAAGTCTATAATGGTGACTGGCGGCCTTGTGGAGATTATCGTCGACTTAATGCCGTCACAGTCCCTGACAGATATCCATTCCCACATATCCAAGACTGTACCCATCTTTTTCATGGAACAAACATATTTTCTACCCTCGATCTTGCCAGAGCATATCATCAAATCCCAGTGCATGCTGAAGATGTGCCCAAGACCGCAGTGACTACACCCTTTGGTGTCTTTGAGTACTTATATATGCCATTTGGCCTTCGCAATGCTGGCCAAACATTTCAGCGTTTCATACACCAAGTACTGTCTGGCCTCGATTTCTGCATCCCATATTTTGATGATATCCTGGTTGCATCTACAGATGCTGAAGAACATTTTCAACATCTGCGTCAGATTTTCACTCGCCTTAAAGATCATGGATTAAAACTAAATCCATCCAAATGTGTACTTGGTCAACCCTCGGTTTCCTTTCTTGGATGTCTTATCACCCAGAATGGAGTCAAACCTTTACCGGAAAGAGTCAAAGCAATTAACGACCTACCTCAGCCCAAAACCATCTCTGAACTGAAGCGTTTTCTAGCAATGTTAAATTTCTACCGACGCTTTCTGCCAAATGCCGCAAAAACACAAGCCTGCCTACATGAGTTTCTGAAGAATAGCAAAAAAAAAAAAAAAAAACGATCAACGAGCTGTCCCTTGGACTGAATTTGCATCTGCAGCATTCGTGCAATGCAAAACACGATCTGGCAAATGCAGCCACACTTTCTTATCACTCACCTAGTGATCAGCTCTCTATAATGGTAGATGCATCTGACACGGCCATAGGAGCAGTGCTTCAAGCCCATACCACTAAAGGACTTTCCCCAATGGCATTCTTTTCCAGAAAACTCACTACTGCAGAAAGGAAATACAGCACATATGACAGAGAGCTACTTGCTGTGTACTGTGCTGTTAAATACTTCCGGCACAACTTGGAAGGACACGACTTCATGATTTTCACCGATCATCGACCATTAACCTTCGCTTTTAGAAAAAACTCTGACTCATGTTCTCCTCGTCAGCTTCGACATCTGGATTTCATCGCCCAGTTTAGTACAGATATCAGATATGTCTCTGGTACTGATAATTGTGTCGCTGATGCCTTGTCTCGGGTAAACAATATCAACCTCACTACCCCAGATTTCTCTGAAATTGCAAAAACTCAATTGCATGATGAGGAACTTAAGAACCTAATCTCAAATCCACAAATCTCCCTTCAGTTATAACCGCTGCACATTGATCCAACGCTTAAAATTTACTGTGACATAGAGAACAATAGAATACGTCCCTATATTCCTGTCAATTTTAGACGTGAAGTGTTTAATGCCTTGCACAATTTGGCACATCCTGGAATCCGTGCCACCAAAAAGCTGATCGCAGACAGATTTGTCTGGCCAGCAATGAATCAAGACATCACAGAATGGAGTCGTTCATGTATTAGATGTCAACGGTGTAAAGTATCCCGTCACACTCACAGCCCCATTCAACAATTTAACCTTCCAGCAAGACGCTTTGATCATGTGCACTTGGAATTGGTTGGCCCATTGCGTCCTTCAAATGGT